CGGACATTCGTTGATGTCATCTGCTGGAATTCGAGACCGTGAAGCTCCACGCTTCTCAATTCTGAGAGACTGACCACCTCAAAACCACTTCAAAGCTGACATCTGATAATATCCTCTCTACCTCTCAGCCGCTTCTGGTGTCTCCGACTTTAGCCACATCGCTATTCATCCAAAGATGTCTACTGTGTAGGCGGAAAGTCTTATTTATCAATTATGTTAATGTCGTTTGCGTGAAACACGTTGTGCAGCTGTTGGCTTTCTCATGCACGATACAAAGTTATATATTGAAAAATTATACAATGCCAAGGTAAATAAAATTACTATTCTATATATAACTACTAAGAGCTTAATGTTTGGGTCATACAGGTTATATAGACAAAGTATCATAAATAAGACTTATTATCCGGGAGTTATATTACTCACCTTGGTTACCATTACTAGTTTTAGTTTTATTAAGAATAAGAGGCTGGATAATTTCCAGATTTCTAAAGGACTGAGCACCTTCTATCAAGGTTGAGGCACTGAACGCCTTCTATCAAGATTGAGGGACTGAACACCTTCTACCAAGATTGAGGGACTGAACACCTTCTATCAAGATTGAGAGACTGAACACCTTCTATCAACGTTGAGGGACTGAACACCTTCTATCAAGATTGAGGGACTGAACACCTTCTATCAAGATTGAGAGACTGAGCACCTTCTATCAAGATTGAGAGACTGAACACCTTCTATCAAGGTTGAGGGACTGAACACCTTCTATCAAGGTTGAGGGACTGAACACCTTCTATCAAGATTGAGAGACTGAGCACCTTCTATCAAGGTTGAGGGACTGAACACCTTCTATCAAGATTGAGGGACTAAACACCTTCTATCAACATTGAGGGACTGAACACCTTCTATCAAGACTGAGAGACTGAGCACCTTCTATCAATGTTGAGGGACTGAACACCTTCTATCAATGTTGAGGGACTGAACACCTTCTATCAAGATTGAGGGACTGAACACCTTCTATCAAGGTTGAGGGACTGAACACCTTCTATCAAGGTTGAGGGACTGAACACCTTCTATCAAGAGTGAGAGACTGAACACCTTCTATCAATGTTGAGGGACTGAACACCTTCTATCAAGATTGAGGGGCTGAACACCTTTTATCAAGGCTGAGGGACTGAACACCTTCTATCAAGGTTGAGGGACTGTGAACACCTTCTATCAAGATTGAGAGACTGAACACCTTCTATCAATGTTGAGGGACTGAACACCTTCTATCAAGATTGAGGGACTGAACACCTTCTATCAAGGCTGAGGGACTGAACACCTTCTATCAAGGTTGAGGGACTGAACACCTTCTATCAAGATTGAGAGTCTGAACACCTTCTATCAATGTTGAGGGACTGAACACCTTCTATCAAGATTGAGGGACTGAACACCTTCTATCAAGGCTGAGGGACTGAACACCTTCTATCAAGACTGAGGGACTGAACACCTTCTATCAAGACTGAGAGTCTGAACACCTTCTATCAAGACTGAGGGACTGAACACCTTCTATCAAGATTGAGGGGCTGAACACCTTCTATCAAGGCTGAGGGACTGAACACCTTCTATCAAGGTTGAGGGACTGTGAACACCTTCTATCAAGATTGAGAGACTGAACACCTTCTATCAATGTTGAGGGACTGAACACCTTCTATCAAGATTGAGGGACTGAACACCTTCTATCAAGGCTGAGGGACTGAACACCTTCTATCAAGGTTGAGGGACTGAACACCTTCTATCAAGATTGAGAGTCTGAACACCTTCTATCAATGTTGAGGGACTGAACACCTTCTATCAAGACTGAGGGACTGAACACCTTCTATCAAGACTGAGAGTCTGAACACCTTCTATCAAGACTGAGGGACTGAACACCTTCTATCAATATTGAGGGACTGAACACCTTCTATCAAGATTGAGAGGGCTGAACATCTTCTATCAAGGCTGAGGGGTGAACACCTTCTATCAAGACTGAGGGACTGAACACCTTCTATCAAGACTGAGAGTCTGAACACCTTCTATCAAGACTGAGGGACTGAACACCTTCTATCAAGACTCAGGGACTGAACACCTTCTATCAAGACTGGGGAGGACTGAAAAACCCTTTTATCAGGACTT